TGCACGAATCAGTGTGGGATGAGAAGCACATTCCGGTGCATATGATTCTACCGGTAATTGTCATCCCAATGATTCCCCTTCCATTCCGTTTGTGTTAGAGCAAAAGTTATCAAAAATCACGAAAAACATTTTAGGACACACAAACACACAGACAGACACACACATACATAGGTTATTTTGAAAGAATCAAACAGTTAGGAACATGCACATGCAAATTGATTTTGCCAGAAACACGAAGGTTTTGAATTAATGGAACTATGCATTGTTAATGCGGTTGTTCGAGCAACTAGTCGATCGATTTTTGAGGCGTGGAGGATCGGAATGGATATGAGGAGTGAGCTGGGGACGGAAAGGAAATTGGGTGAGGAAAATGTGCAAAAATTGACTGCAGTGTAAATTGCATGCAGGTTATTTGGAAGCCATAGAATTAGGAGGTTGAAATTTCGGAACAGTATTCATTGTCCAAGGTTTCAAATTCAGTTGTCGCTTACATTCATTTGCATTTCACGTACTGGTGTGTGAAATTTTAAACGGGAAATTTTGCAGCCTAGGAACAAAACAGCATATCAACCTTTTTTTTTTCACAGACTGGAGTGTAGAAGAGTAGAAGACAAACATCCGCTGGTCGAAATTGCGCAAAGCGTGTACGATCGCACCAGCTGCCCCAATGCGCACTGCTATTTTTTTGGGAGGTATCTCACCGCTGATCTTAGGTGAATGCAAAAATTGATATTTCCATCTTGAAATCAATTGCTTAATATTATTTTTAGCCAACCGGAGCTTTTCTTTGCAAAATTGCGAGCCGTACTGCGAGTGTATGGGATCGATGTCATTTCGTGCGCATTCGACCGTTACTTCTTGATACTGACTATTGCAATTATGTGAAAGTGAGCTTCTTATTACTAATAGCATCAACAATTATTCCTTCGCTTTCAGAAATGGTGGATTTATTATGTGTTTTCTGAGTGTTTTTGAACAGAAAGATATTTTGAAATGGGAAGGGGAATCGAAGAGAAAATGATATTAAGAAATTAGTAAAAGCAGTAAAATTATTTCAGTAAAAAAATTATTGTAGCATTATAATAAAGTTGTTATAACAATAAAATTATTATAGTATTACAACAGAACTATTACAATGGTAAAAAATATTTCGGCCCATCAAATCTAGCGATTTTTTTTGTCATACTAGCATTTTTTCGATATAAACAAAAGTTACGCCACTCTCAAGTGGCGCACTGCTCAAAACAGTGTAATTACTTGTAGTAACTTCGAAGAGCCGGTGCGCATATATTGCTAGAGACGGTGATCAAAATTTTTTTTTTTTGGGTATTGGCCTGGTTAGGTTGCATTTGCTCACAAATTTTTTTAGAATTTTAATGGCGGAATTCTAAATGTGAAAATGGATGAATTGTTAAAGATGGAAACACTTGCTACTGTGGGTCTCCCGATTGTTGATAACTGCGTAAGTTTTCTGAAAAGATTCGTTGATTTACCGGAATTTTTCGTGAACAAAATTCGAAGCGAAAAAAAAATGGATTCCTTTTTAGCAGTTGCTCTTTTAACTCTGAAACCGATAGGAAAAGGAAAGGGTGAGAGGAATTTTCCTTGCAAATTTTTTTTTTTTTTTTTTTTCATTTCAGGCTTCTATGGATTTCACTAATATTCCACCAGCCATTTATGACTGCCTGCTACAGCTCTACAATCAGTTACAAAAACATCGCTGCGAAATGAAGCAGCTTGTCGCTTTGACTGAGTGCGTCTCTGGGATGTATCGCAGTGCACTGTGAGTATTTTTATATTTTTTCCATTTTTTTTTTTGTTGCCGTCAAGTATTTTCAGTGATGACGATTACCAAAACTGCATTGGTAGAAAGAAACTTTTCATGGGATTTCATTTTATTATGTTAGTAGCAGTGTTACTGGCTCTCGTTGGACATCAGGATTTCTGTCGATTTTGATCCCGATTGTCTTTTTAAACGCGACTGACTACGTTGTTTTTAAAAAGCGCAGTTCCGGCGCGCACACACTCTTCGTTTACCTCTTTCCGATTGCATTCATTACGTGTTTACATAGGTTGTTAACTGAGCAGCATTGATTTTAATCTCAAGATGTAATTTATCAGATAAAATTTTAAATGGGAAGATGAATTGCAGGAAATGCCACATGAGAAAAGAAGCAGTGACATGGATAACTTTCGCAGAACTGGTGCACACACTTATTAGAAACACTGAAC